CACAGCCTCCTAAGAATCCCCATCTATGAAACATCACTCTGTTCTCCTCCCCACTGAGAGCTGGTGTGTGGTGTATACTGGCACACTATGGCTGCCGTCACATGATCCAGGTGGGGCTGCACACTGGTGGTGGTGGAGGGGAGATCCCATTACCTGTAAAGTGCTTTGAGTGGAGTGTCCAGAAAAGCGCTATATAAGAGTAAGGAATTATTATTATTGGCTTGGAGGATTTTGAATACTAAACCACAAAAAGGAACAAGGGACCTTGTGTTAGGTTATTTTTGTAGTCTTCTCTGTTCAAAAGGCTCTGTTCCTTCAGCCTGTCAGTAGAGAACACTCCCTTATGTCTGAGTATGCATCTGGTTGCTTATGTCTGGACTAATTCTAGCAACAATATACTGTATTTTATGTAACGGGGTGACTAAAACGGTACATAATATTCTAGATGAGGCTTTGCTACTTAATTTGACCACTTAAACATGACATGCCGGAATTCTAACATTACTCTTTATATAACTATATATCCTAACATTTGATTTGCCTTTTTTTATTGCTTTCACACATTCTGTCAACAAACACGCAAATGTCTATATTTTCTTGATGTCCTGCATTTCACATATAGGGTTTTAGGGCATTAGGTAAACTCTCAGAGGAAACTTTTGCCCCACTGTAACATTAAATATATAATACGTTATTAAACCTGTAGGTAGTATGATAATTACTGGATTTACTGTCTGTGGCTTGTGTGTTCCGCTATAACTTTCGACATTAATGAAGTCTAATAAACCCCAAGGATCAACAATGATATGCTGTCTAGATGAACACTAGAAGCTGAAAACCTTAAACTCCTATCTGCCAGCCACTGTCAGGTTTTCCTTTATCAAATATTATAATTTTCCAAATGGAGCTACAATTCGGCTTCAAAATGATTTTTTGTGGCACGTCACTGCTCGTAGAACTTTGGATAGTTTAACCATTTAATCATCTGTGATGTACTGTATCTGAGCAGTATTACATGGGACAAATGTTTTTAATTTCTTCCCAGATAAAATATTTAACCTTTAAAACTAATTTTTGTATATTTGTTGTATAGTTGCAGATGAATCTTAACATCCTCCTTTCAGATAATGTCCCTATAACAAAGAACTCAGATTTACACAAAACCTGCAGGATGATATAAACAAAATTAATAGAAAAGTATTTATATTATGCATGGGTTCACGCATGAACTATTCAGAATAGCCGATGAAAATATCAGAGGTATTTGTGCCACAGAGGTATTTTCACTGCCAAGGTGGAAAAACAGCCAAAGTTCTGTAGAACACAAAATGCAATACACAGCAAATGCATTCAAAGCCTTCTTATCTGCACACAATCACATGGAAGTTTAGAAAAATCTGGTTCCATTTTTGCAGGAGCATTAACAAAAACATGAGAATGGTTTACCTGAAAAAATAGCTTTCAAAAACGCCTGTCTCCCTAGTTCTTTACCCCCTTACCCTGTTCATCTATTTCAAAAGATTCAAAACTATTATTTCAAGAGAGTCTACATAATACAACTACGGTACCCTGTGTTTTCTCAGTACGAGAGGAGACCTCCACATACAAACCCTTATTTGGTAAATCCACAGATATTTTGTTTCACATGAGGCTCCTGTGCCAGGGCAACATTTCTTTCTTTCTCTGCAGCTAACATATTTAGTAACAGGATTCATTCTGTATTCTTTCATCATGGGTAACAAAGCCCAAATCTGATGTCAAAGAGTATAATATTTTGAATAAATGAAGTATAGAGCAGATGTTATATTGAGAGAAACAAAGTAAGTGATGCAACTTGAACTTACTCCTTAACAGGGTATGAACACACCTTCACTCTCCACATTCCCCACCAAGAACAAAAGCAGTAATACGCCCATTCCCCAAGGAAAATCCCATAGGCAGCCTAATTGGACCTCACCTCCCAATCCCCTTCTGTGTTCACAATGAATTTATTATTTCTTACACCATTATGATGTGGTGGCAAAATAATGATGCCAACCCCTTACGATATGTAAAAAAGACTTCAAAGCAAATAATTCCATGCAGAACCTATCCTGAATGCTTATTACTCATTCAGACCAGCTGTGCCTCATTTTGTGGGCTCTTTTCCAATTAACAGGTGGCCATCTTGGCTCAAGACTACACCATCAGGCCTGTCTTCAGCCAAGATGGTGGCCTTCTCACAAAGCCACCTCCCACTGCCTCATGGGCAACTGCATCTGATCCACCCTAAATGCAAGATCACACTTGAAAAAGTCTGTAAAGGAAGAAAAAAGGGATCGCTTTGCCCAACTTGATGGGATGACTCATATTTATAGAATAAACTCCTTTACTTCTTGCTTCAAGATGAACGGAGCACCTTGCACCCTTGCTTTATGAATGCCACCATGAAGGAATTTGAGCCCTGCAGGGTAAAGCAGGAAAGATTGTTTCCAGACTCTCCAGCTATGGAAGTCACCACAACCAAGTTAAGTCCACTTTTAAAATCAGTTGGTCAATAGTTCACTCCTACACTATCCACAGATTGGCCAATGTGGTAGGCCCAGGAGAATTGTCAATAGAAAAAAGGGGGCCAAGAATCAGCTTTTTCTGCAACCCTTCTGTCTCTGGTGGATCGCTAACACAAATACTTTAAAAAAGCCTAATAAAAAAAAGGGGTAGGCAGAAGGAGTCCCAACTCTAATTTACCATTCCAGCCTACCATGCACATGATCTCCAAACCAGTCATTTACTGAAGAAAGACAGGGTATTAGCTCCAACAATGTGACTAGGTAGCTCGTTTAAGGCTACAATAATTGACATGGAATTTACTGAATGCACTAAACACCCACAATACAGTGCCAAAACTTTAAGATGCCTCAATATTTCAATGACAGAAATCACAAAAGATTGTGAAACATTGATTAGATCAGTAAAAATGCATCTGTGTGTATACAGATCCTGACCATTAACAAGGAGTGCGTTTAAGTACTGAGGTCATGTCTACCTTTGGGGGTAGAACCAAAAGTTGTATCTTATTACAATAAAACAGTAGATGGCTTTCTATCTTTCTATACAAAGGAATCTCTACTAATATAATAATTAATGAATATATAGCATGAAAAACAAAAACAACCTTTTCCATGTGTTGAAGGCCTGTTCTTGACCATATAAACTCCTTACATGAGTGTTTTTTGTCATTATTTCAACAAATGTGTGAAATTAATAGCAGAAATATTCACAACAATAACTATTATAAACTTACCAATACTGCTGCCATCTGCACTTTTCACAAAAAAACAGAAAGACAAAGCAATGTAGCAGTAGATGGAGATCACATGGTTGATATCCCAGGATGGCAAACCAAAGAGTTGAATATGATAATATTGCTGGCTATTTAAAAAAAAGTAATCACTACGTGGTTTCGAAATCTTGCACAGCGAGAGTTCAGCATAAAAATATCTCATGGGATGTTTGTGAGATCATTCTTCTGGAGGTCAAGACAAACCCCCGGTACTTATCGCCAAACTACTTCAGCTCCAATACACAGCTCCTGTTGAAAGAGCATAGGCAATCTAGCCCTGTTTATTCAGATGAGGGATCTGCGCGACATCTTTTATTTGGATATAGTCTAGCAACAGCCCAGCAGCAACATGCCCCTGAGGGATGTTTGCTTCTTATTTGTTCTGACGTACTCTGCAATGCTTCAAGTCCTCCATGCTGAAGGAATGACCCTGTGGTGCAGGAAGCAGGAGGAAATTCACTGAGGGGATAATCCCACTATCTCTATGTAATCATAAGAAGACCCTGTTGATGTATGCGAGTTAACAAAGTTCACAGAAGGACAAATATTCTGATGGTTGGTGGCTGGATTCTGGGGCGAGGAGCACTAGTATTTAAGGTCTTGGGTCCTAACTGAGTCAGCTTCATGGAGTAACAGGGGGAGGGGGAGCAGAAGAAGGGACTCCCACCAGGGGCTGCCCTCTGTTCCCATCACCTGTATGGTTTGGGGGAGTGGAAAGGGCCATTTCTGTTTCGGTATTTGTTTGGGATGTGTAGCACAGTGGCACTCTTCAAAAGAATTAGACTATGGAGTTCGCCTCTGTAACATGTCTCTTTATTTAGATTTTACAACGTCCTTCATGCACTCCAGATGCCCATCTCCCGCTAAAATAGTTTAGTGTTTTCTGGAACGCTAAATTCTCCTAAGCTAAATGTCTTGGCTGTTTAGATTAGCTGCGAATACATACAGGAGTGTCATTCAAAACAACAGGATGTTTTTACATTTTGCTAATATTTTGCTAAATACTATCATGAGGAAATCTTTTGCAGAGAAAAAAAAAGAAAGTATTAATTGTATTCCAAAGGAATTTCAAATGTCTTTTTTGGGGTTGATAAAGAATTTACTTTTTTGCTTAAACATAAATTGTATTCCAGAAGTGGGTTTGTCTCACAAGCACAAAATCTCATAGATCTACATTTCTTTTTTTACATAAGAAGGAAATACCACTCATATCGGATTATCACATCAATTTTTGCAGATTTTAAGTGATAAATCATTGTATGTCCCCTGCTGGTGTTTTAAACCACAGTACAAAACAAAATGTTTTTTGATGTGGTTTTAAGCTAAATTGGAGGTGTTCAGCTCCCTAAATGACTCCTACATTTTATGAGAAACATTCAAATGATGCATTTAAGATAAGCATGTTTTGGAAATGTAAAATAATATTTATAACAATAAGCAGTTTATGTCTATGTAAAACTGTCTAGAGAACCAGTGATATTTTCTTTTTAAATGTTGACAAATGTTTTCTTTCTCTATCTCTTTCTATTTCTTTGAAACTTTTAAAGAACTTTCACAATGTGAAATACTATAATTTCTGACAGGCATAAAGATCACAAGAACTGTCCAATGTATTTCAATGGGAGAGCTGAAAGATGTTTACAAAAGATACCAATTGAAACCAAACCAGACAAGGACAAAACTGCAAAAGAGTCCACTTTATTTTAGAATCTACAGTTTCAAAGACTCCAGACAGCATTGTATAAAAATCGGTTTGAGTTCCATAAAAATAATCAAAAAAGTGGAATATTCATGTTAGCACGTTTACTTAAAACAGAAACAAGAATCAATTCACAATAATACGTCATGCTAAAAAAAAGAAAGTTTGTTTTTAGAATATCTGAACATTTTTTCTGTAGGACCTGCTGTCGACAAGGAGTCTGATGAACTTAAAATGGGAAAGTGGGGCAGTTGTGTTTTGTAGGGGTGGGACAGTGAAGTACTAATGGAAAAGCAGCAATCTTTGGTTTTAATATTTAAAAATTATTGAGTTCTATTTTTTAATCAATGTTACATCACAATTCACAAATAATTAGGCAAAACCAAGCTAAATATATATGTAGTATAAATAAATTAGCTGTACAGAAAGTCCTCTTCAGATTAATCATGATTCAAATCAACATAAGGCCACAAGCCCATGGAGTGCAATAATGACTTCACAACAGCAAGGACCCAAGGCCCCTGTTAGAAACAGTTTATTATACACTTTCCCTCTACATTTTCAAATCAAGGTTTTCTTTAAAAGCAAACTAAAAAAATAACACTGGAGAACAAAGGGCTTAAAAAAAAGCACTTGAGCTTCTATAAAGTATTGACACCTATTTATCAGGATACCTACTGGTCTCAAGAAACTGGGATATTAATTATGAATTGTTTATCTGTAACGATGAATAACTCTGAAAAACGTGCTTACGCTGACATTATGGCCAAATGTCCAGTTCTGTTAAAGAACAAGGAACACTTTTAAGCATTACTGATCATTATAAAATCCCATTAATAAAATCATATTAAAAGCAGTGGACATGCTGCTCAGTTAGGTGTCAATACTTCATATGAATATGCTCATGGGGTCTAGAAATGCAGTTTAAACTGAAAGAAAGTTCAAAGCACACTTCACTGGCCACCTCCGTGCCGGTCACATGACCTTTCCTAAGACGCCACACCAACTTGAAAATTGTAAAGACTTGCGAGAGATTAACATTTCACCCTTTTTTGCCCAACCTTCTTTATTAGTTTGACAGTTTCCATTATAAACTAAGAAACGATTTGGAAGAAAAAACATACTGGTGACAAAGCCACTACGGTCATCTGAGAAGTGCCATCTTCTTCAGATAACTACAGAATACCCTGCCACATGGCACATGAGATGAACATCCTCTAACTGTTAAGGAGCTATGCAGCTCTTCTGCAAAACTAAAGAATGAGTCTGCCAGGCTACCTGATATCCCATGTTTGTGTCTGCAGTCCAGTTTGTGCTTGGTGGTGGATTCCATACTGTACGTATTATTGTTGTTGTTTTCATTGCCACAACATTGCATAATAACTCCCAGCGAGAGACAATCATTGGTAACATTCCAAGAGAAAGCTGTCCACAATTTGAAAACCCTTCTGGTTATATAAGTCACTTTGACTATTATTTACAGTGGCCCTTTTAAAACAAATACATAAAATAACTGGGTGACACTGACTAGCAGCTAGGCTTCCAATTGGCTTTACAATCTGCAATTTAACAGCAATTTCCAGTTTCCTTCACCACCTAATACCAGAAACTGAATACAGTTGGTATGCCAAGAAATACTTCAAGAAGGATAATTCTGCAACAGACCTAGTTAGGAGTAATACCAAGGAAGAAGGGGAAATAAACAGTCAATAGAAATAAACACAAACCTATGACTAAGAGGAGGCAATGAAACCCCTCTGCTGATCTGTATAATTTAAGGACTTTCCTTCTCAAGGAGACTAGACTAAAATAACACATGAGATCATGGGACTGGGCTCAGCTTCATTTCTGTATGTGACAACACCTACTCTGAAGTCACCTCTCTGTTGCTGAATCTGCCCAAATAATACTTCCTCATCCACTGTCTCCCCAGTGTGCTGTGCTCCAACTATTGTGTTCCGGTTTCAGAAACACCTTCAGGAATCTGAAGACTGCAATCAAAACTCAATCTAATCTTCACTGCAAGCTGTCTACACTACAAGTGAAAGCACTCCTTCCTTAAGTAACCTGTACTTGAAATAATGAAACCTCTTACGGAATTTAAAAACATGTTGAAAATGACTGATATTCCATTGGAAAATGCTGGCAGAGGAACTGTTCTAAAAAAGGATCAGTACTCTTGCGCCATTAGAACAAAATAGAAAAATATTTCCTTTAATAAAACCATGTTAGAACCACATGATGACCATGGACGACCTTCCTGGTGGTATTAATAAACAATAGACTACTCGTCTGGCCTCTTACCTCTTACCAGGTAAGGTGGGAGTGGGTACCCCAGCTTTCCTGCATCCAGCAAACAGGGACCATGTTCAGTGTGAAGCACAGGAACAAGGACAAACAGCCAAAGCAATCCTGAAGGTCTAGGAATTTCTCACTTTTTACAGGAAGCTCACCTGAGGTCATATTTCAGGGTCATAAAACAGCTGACCAAGCACAGAGTTCCATGAGCAGCTAAAAATCAACCATGAAGAGGAAGTCTACAACTTCATGGAAAAGAAGGTAAATGGCAAACTAAATCTATGATTTATTTTCAGATTCGGACACTGAAGAGGAGAGTGAAACCATAAAATAAAGCCTTTTCCTCACCCTCACCTTGAATACCTTAAATTTTTACAAATCTCAATTTTTTAATCACGTTTGTTTTACAAACCCTCTGCATTAAACTGCCCGATCTAAAGCCAAGCAATGACCATTTACAGATTACAGTTAACATTATCAAACCAGTTACAATCAAAATCCAATAACCCAACCATATTTCACAACTAAGGACTTCATACAATGTCGACAGAATACAGAGATACTACTCTAGCTGAACGATCACCATGAAGTCACTGATCTCATGATAGCCTGTCATTATCAAACTGCAACATTGCAGTCAAGTTGTAATATTCATATCAAGTTCATACCAACTTACAGAGAAAACATAACCTATTAATTTTCTCAAATGGGCAGGCTATAATTCATTTAGGAATGGCATTTTAAGGAAAAGCACACTTTAAATAATATTTATTTAAAGTGTGCTTTTCCTTAGTGTGAAAGTGTGAAACCGAATCTGATTTAAAGCAACATCTTATAACTCAATTTATTGTCTTTTATCAGTACTGTAAATACAGCAGGAAGGATCACGTTAGGCTGAACTGAGAGGAAGTTGTATACTGCACAGACAATATGCAAAACTCAACCTGCCTCTACTATTTAAGAAAAGGCCATTGTTTCCCTTCTCAGATGGTGATATTCGTTAAAGACGTAGTTCAGGTGGGTAGCTCCAGCAGCAAGCATAATCTACATAGGAACAACTAATAGGTTTATTCCATGCTGAAAAGAGAAAAGCCTTCTTCACCACACCCAAAACGTTACGTTTTCTCTCTTCTCTTTTCAGCACGGAATGAACCATTTCTTAAAGAGTTACCACACTAACCTTGCGCAGTGACAAAAGCTTGAAATTCTTTTGGACGGAACATTGCAGGCTGCCAATCCGTCACGGGACATTGTAGAAATGAGGCAACTTGAAAAACGCTTAGCCAACAAGTCTTTGGGAGGAGGGAAGGAAACCAGAGGGTCCAAACCAAAAAAAAACTCCAGAGCAACACACAGAGAACATGCAAACCCCACACAGTGTGGAGCGTTCTGGACATGGGAGGAAGCACTACCCACAACAGTACCCCGCCAGCCAAACTGAAACCATTACTGGTTGATAAAACCCAACGACAAATTGCTCCTGCAAAGACTGTGGCCTCCTGCCAGACAGCAGATGAAGATCCCCTGGGTATTCAGGATTTGCTCTAACCTGAACAGGTCATGTCAGATTTTCCATCTCTTACTAGCGGTATTCTCAGCGTTCACCTGCCAACAACGCGATTTCAGAGGTCAAGGACGTCCATTAATTTAACACACTCCTGTTTTTCACATGCTTTTATTTTAACAGTACTAACACAAAGGTTCTCTCAGCAGGTTAACTTCTTGGCACATCTTGGCCAGTTGTAAGACTGGTGACCACTGCCAGCAATAGTGCACCAGAAACATTTAAGCACACAGAACTTTGAAACCTTTTACCAGACTTTTTGCGTGAATGGGAATATCATTTGATATATTTCTGAATTTTACCTGCAAAGGCTTTTACAATGTTTGTCCATGTCTATATTGCAAGTTAATCTATTTAAAAGAAATAAATAAAAATGGCCATCGTCTGACAGTTTAATCAATTCTTTGGACATCCCCCCAAAAAATCAAGCCATAAAGCTTTATAAAGAACAGGGACAAAGGAGCTATATGCAACAACAATCAATACCATAAGCACAAAACTGATTAACAAAACAATATAGTGTTAATATTATATACTGTTAACAGTTTTATTTTGCCTCTTCACAATTATGGGACTATGATAGTCGAAGATAAAGTGGCTCTATGGACTTTAAGCATCCAAAGTTTTACTGTGCACTGCTGACTGTACTGCACGCATCTGATCATGTCATCGGCTCATTGCAACATGACAGGGAGCATCACAAGTTATCATCAGGCGTGGATTGATAGAACTCCCCTTCACAAACACACACAAGACCACGAGACCCAGACACAGGAAAAGCTTTTGTTCTATTTTTGTTCAGGACGCAGACTGGCAGGGAAACGGCTGCATGCTAGTCCACTCGACTAGCTGTAAAAAAAAAAAAAGAGATTTACATAAGTGGCATTCTGGTCCGCATGTGGGCTACCGCTCTGAAAAAATATGAACCTAGAAGAGATCCTACAGAATGACGAACTGCATAAGGATTGATTAGCTACTAGCCACCACAGGGCAGATGGGTCGAACAGGCTCCTTGTCTATAACCTTTCTTATTCTGGTTTTGTCATCTGCCGAAGCTGACGACGAAGAAGGCAGCAAAGGAAAGGACAAAGGCAATATAAACCACGTACACTGTCTTGGAAGCAAAACAGTGCGGCAGTGTGGATTATGAACGAAGCAAAGTGACGATGTGATGTGCTGACTTGAGTGGCACAGTGCCCTCCACCCCACTCTGCTGTTGCTCAGCATGCTGACACCGGGCACAGCTCAGCACTTTTTACTGTTGGCAAAGACTCCTTGTCGCTACCTACTTGACAACCTAAAGATTTAAATTACGTGAAGCCCGGTTCATACAAGGAACCACATAAAAAAAAAAAAGCCTTGTGTTTGGAACAAGTGTCAAGGAATCCGGAGCAGAGAGGCAAAGCCTTTAATGGATTGTTGACGCGCAACATCACAACCGTTGTACCGACAACCTTACAAAGCGTGCCTGGTGCTTCTTCATGATCAATGAATTTCTAAATGTTATAAATAAAGATGGAATATTAGAACTATTACTCTTATGTACAAATGATTTGACTTTAGTAGGATGAAGAATCTTTGAGATTCAAATACTTGAGAACACATATCCTGCTTCTCTTTACTCATATTTCTAGAGGCTACAATATATTAGCGGTTACATACATACCTAAGAGAAGAAAGCCTTTTGTAAGGTGTATATACCCTATGGCTGACATCTCTGTGAAGAGTGAAGCCAAAACAATGTGATCTGGAGTTTAATGTGTAAATTCCTACTGTGTGAAGGTGTTTTCACTTGACTAAACCTGTAGGCCAGGAAAACACTAGATGGTATTTTTTAGCATCTGAAGGGCTTGATGAAGTGCTGTGCAAATAATTTTAGAACCACTTGACTCTCAACTGACTTGAAGCGGACCAACATGCAAATGTGTATCACCTGTTTTCTGAGGATGTGACTGCAACTTGAGTGCTCTAGCTGAAAAGAAGACTGGCCACTGTAATGCACAATTAGATTGGCTTGAAAGAGTTTGGAATGTTGTTGCAAACCTTGCTTGCTGAACAATTTCAGATCTTGAAATATAATTGCCAGTATAGGGCAAGATATAGATTATCACTTATGCAGCGAGGAGTACATTCATTTATGTAGCCAGTCGAACTGTTAAGATTTCTGAGAAAAAAAAGAGTATTGTAAATTGATAACATTTGCTTGATCATACAATTGTTATCTTGCAAAACCCAACAGGGAATATTCCACAAAACTTCCAAATATTCTTAAACAGGCCTGACTGTTACAACTGCACTGACTACTGTCTGACTGTCTATAAAAGAGTATTTTTGGAATCATCAATCACAATCTACAAAGCATATTAATAGACAAACCCCAAACTATTTATGGCCAGTTTCTACAAAAGCTGAAAAAATGTCCTCAGAGTAAATCCTGTTGACAGCTCTGTTTCAGGTCTGAAATTTCAGATGTTGTTGTAAAAGGGTGTTTAATATAAGCAGAAAAAAAGAGTAACTCTGGAGCTGCAGTTTGTCAGACTTGAGTAAAACCTAACAGATTAGAGGTAAAATGAAAATAAATATCTCAAGACTCAGGTAAGAACCATGGCAATAGCTACAGATCTAGCAACATTATTACTCAAAGCAAGAGGGGGATCATCCTGAACTTGGCACCTCAGAAAAATTCTGAAACTGCCCCTCGACATAAAACAAAATCTCATTCAGAGCAGGGAGCTGTGTCAAGCAGAAGTTGTTTAACTTCTTTAACTCTTCAGGAGTTAAAAGAAACAAGGAGAAGTGGAGGAAAATGTAACACAAAGCGAGTCTGGCTGGAGCCTTGTATAAAAGGGCCAGTGAGGATAAAAGACAGACCCATGCAGGGCTACAGTCCACTATTTATGTTTGCACAATCATTACACACATCTATGTCCTTTCACAGGGAGTCTGACTTGAGTCGTGTGCATTAGGGTCTCAATCACAGCAAGACAGGGGCTCGCACATTCTCAGCGACCAGCTTGCTGACACTCACACGTGCCACTTGTGCCACTCCTGCTTTTAATTCACCACCAGCCCGTCTCACATCCGTCTCCTTCATCTTCCTCCACCCCAGCTCCCCTCCTCATTCCTGCGCCGCCCCTCTCTTCCGCGCGCACCTGAGGGAGGCTTCGCAGCCACAACGTTGCGTCTTCAATTCTCCTCCTACGTTTCAGTGTGGGAATTCAGCGCTGCTTTTCCCAGTAGCGCATTAAGCGATGTTGAACGTCACCTCCGGCGCCTGAAGAAAACAAACTAGGGGATGTGAAAAATAATGATCCTTTCGGTGCCATTCTGATGATGTACTCGGCTCCACATGGTCGCGATTCCGTGGTGAAAATACCCTTTTGTTTTTACCCTTCAACACTGATATAACTGGCAGCACTCATGCCTGCATACAATCACATGAAAGATATACTTAGTCACACATACCATCATTTCTTTAGTCTCCAGCCATCCCTTCTTTACTGTAATATACAGTAGCATTACACTCCAGTCCTGTTGAAAATTTCCCTCACAAAGCTGAAGGGAATGAAATGTTTTCATTACAGCAGAAATATATATATATACTAACTTTGTTAAATATGGCTCAGTTTCTACTGAAACAAAAATGTAAAATCAAGGTGTTGCATTAAAACCATTGTTTGCATTCCACGAATATACACCCAAGGTGTCTAAAGAGATCCTAACAGTCTTGAGTGATCAAACACTTGAAGGCCCAGCTGCCCCCTGCAGCTTCAACCCCAAAGGGCTCAACTGCAATGACCATTTATTCACGTAAATCAGAAGTCCCTTTGTTACCTCCTCCTCAGACTACAGAGATGAGGTCATCCCTGCAATTCTGCTTAAGACTATATGTAATAGTTAAGATTTGTTTGTACACCCTGAAAAAATCTCACAGGAAGCATCGAAGTAAAAAGGTACTCTGCTGATATGCTTGCAACCAAAGGGCTGTTGGTGTCATTCGGTCTCGCCAAGTGTTTGCCTGCCTCGCCGTTCATGCTGTCTGGGAAGGTCCCATGGCTGTGGCCCCTATGCAGCAGTGAGATACTGGTGGTAGAAAAGCCCAAAAAGGCTTGTAGAAAATAAGCATGCAGCGATCCACCAGGTGAGGAAGGAGAGAAGGCCGCGGAAAAGCAGAGGAGTGAAAACGTTCCTGAGACCCCCCAGCGCTACAGTGATTTGCGCCATGGAGACCTTGGCCTTCTCTGGGGGAGCCAGAGGCTCAGAGGCAGCAGCTGCGGGGTCCAAGCCGGTCAGTAACGTCGAGGGCACTTCAGGTTCAGAGTAGACACCCCAGGAGTGACCACCTGTGGGAAAGAGGTTTATAGCCTTGTTACCAGGAAAGCTTGGGGGCAGATGGACACTACAGTTAAAGCACAGGCATTAGGTCAGGGTAGAACACCATTTCAACCAAAATCATAGGCCTGAACATTTTTTATTCATGGCAAACCTCACACATTTTAACTTTCATCACACTTTTCACTTCTCGACGATTGGCTTCTTACTGCCTGTCTGGTCGACTCAAAGTTGGAGAGCCTTCGCATTTAGAAAAAGTACACCACACAGGCACATTGGCCAAAACCAAAACAAGAGTGTCGACGAAACCTCGTCACTGTGCATGACATTGATCGATGCCCAGGCTGAATGCTGCAAACAAGGATTCCCTTTCAAGGGCAACACTGCTCTAATGTGAGCAAAAAAAAAAAAAACAACAAATAAATTGGGAAGAACTTTCCAGACCAAAAAACGTTCCTACCTAAAAAAGATCCTAACTAACTGGAGGACAATAGGTTACTGGATCTTTTTTATTATTTGGAGATAATAATATAACAGGGATACAAAAAACAGGGAAGTGTCAAAGCCATAATCTGGTGAAGAAAAAAAATCACTTGCTGTTCAAGTGGGTGTAATTGTGCTCTGTGTACATCACATTTAAAAGTGTTACAAAGAGATAGTAAAATTCTTGTCTGAACAGGTTGATACACAGAATGGGGTAGTAACTACAAATCCATCAAAAGAAGATATGATATCCAATATAGTGGGATTCAGCCTTGATCTTATTTTTAGATTAGAGAGATACCTGAGTGTTTACACTGCAAAAAAAGTCTTAGTTTCAATCTGATCTTCTGCTAGGTGCATCAGTGTCTTGAGTCAACTTTACTGATCTCCCTGCAATTATGTTTAAAATGAACGTCCACAGAGAAAATATTTTTTATAAATTTTACAGCAGACAGAACTGAAATATGCTGCACGCTGCAGTTACTTTCAATGTCAATTAAAAAACCCAGGTGACCTAAAAGCAATACATGACCTTTTTATTCATAAAGTAGTGCACAGAGGGAGTGCACTGAAGGCTTAAATAGGAAAACTTTTATGGATTCTCAGCAATGTTTTCATTTTCCTCCTTAAAAGGGAATTGGCACTTGGTGATGTGCCAGGCTCACAGGCAGGAGATCATACCTACTGTAGCACAGCTGAACACAGAGGGGAAATAAACACTCCCTAGCAAAGCTAGAGCCTTACTCTCCCCAATCAAATCACAGCACCATCGTGCACCAGGTCAAACCCACATTAAACACTTTATTGCTACCAGGGACAGAATCTCAGTTCTACTGAAATGTAACAATAAGGAGTAGACTACTTCAATAGCAATATTTTTACGATAATTGTTGATTTTGATTATTAATCAAACAACGTGTAAATCAAGCAGTAAAAGGATTGTAAATAATTTTAAAAATGGCTTTACACCTTTATGGCTTGATGTGAGGACAAACCAATATATATCTATCTACACCTAGCATATTAGATTTCTTATATATAAAATACAAATATTATTTTTCATTTGCTTTGCTGATATCTTACAAAGGGTGACTTAAAAAAGGAATTGCAGAATCTTTATTATGAGCACTTTCATCGATGTTTGTTTATAAGTCTGATCCCTTTTAGCATTTTTAACATTATACATATTTAAGTTGTAAATGCAATGTTATAAAATGATTATGATATCTTGAAACAACTGTAACAAACACTTAATGAATACTTCCTTTAATATGAACATAGGATCGCAAAGAGTTTAACATATAGTAAAGCACCACTTTCTCGGATAATGTGCATTAAGTGCATTATGGTGGATTTAATGTGTGACATCTCTTAGACTGTGATGGTCAAATAAAAATGCAGAATTAACTATTCTGCATTCACTTAATTTAACATTATATGTGAGCAATTATTTTGATAACAGAATGCACATGGTATTCTGGTCACAATGGCTCTGGTGACCATTATGTGTATTATCTGACTGTAGCACCTGAAGAGCAGGGGACAAGCTGGTTAATTGATGCATCTGGGCCAATAAGGAGGAATTGGGTTACAAACAGGGCTGGAATGAAAAACCTGCAGTGTGTATACGAAGAAGGGTGTTTATTATATTGGGTGTTTTAGAAATACATGCGTGTGATCACTATCTACAAGGTTATTCCCCAGATATTAACAGCATTGAATGAACAATGGCATAATATATTTGTGTGAAATAGGTTACTCATGACAAAAAGGGGGAAAAAAAACTTCCAATAACAGAATATCAGATATGGGTTTGATTTCTTCTTTCAGAAACAAATTTCAGTTGAACATCAATGGAAGGGAAGAGAGATTTTCAACATCTAAAGACAGTATCGCTCACGGGACTTTACAACCACATCAGAAACTTAACTTCTTGAGCTATGCATTGGCTGTTTTTTTTCCTTTACATATCCCTATAACAAAAATTATTTAAGTCTTAGAACATGGTCTCCAATCAAGACTGAACTGAAAAATAGAAAAATGGCAATTCCATGTACCACCCAGTCCCTGCTTTTAATGAAATCGGCCCCAGCACTCCACTCACCTAAGGTTTTTAGAAGCAATGTTGTGTGAAGCAGCATCACCAGAGGTGCCACATACTGCAGTGCTATCACACACAGGTAATAGAAGACCCGAGCAACCTGAGGACAACACAACCAGCGTTAAGACAGTCAGATGCTCCAAGCACAGCACAGGAGCACTGATCTACAGGGAGCGCAAGCAACAGCGAGCTCCAAATTTCAACTGAGAACCTGCTAAACCCGTGATCTTGAAGAAGTGCAAAGGAACACTCAAATCCTGAAAAAGCACTTCATGTCATAAGATGTGGAAAAAAATCCTTTCACACAAAAAAAACACAGTTGAAGTCAATCATAGGAAAGAAAAACTAATTAACGGTATGACGAGCTGAAAAGAATTTAACATCACTCTACGGAGGTTAAACAGATTAAAAATAGGTTACCTTCAAATATGTGAAGGCACTGGTAACTATTCTCCTATACTTCTGTACTTTGTATCAGAGGCAGGCTTTGTACAAAGTGCATGCCAAGTGCCATATTTCTGAAATATAACATTAAGAAACGTAATGTTGGTTTGAATGCTGAGGTTTTCATTTGTGGCAGGAGTTGACTTGGAACTTGTGTACTCGGAAGCGAGATTAGCCTTGTGGGGGCTGTCCATAATCGTCACAAAGCACTGCCACACACGTACTTTGAGATGGTCTGCTAGGGAGATGAAACCCTGGCTGAATTTTAGTTCTACATCCTCCTTCATTTGCATTTAGGGCAATCTGAAGGACACCAGGTACTCCGCAAATTGCAAGGGGGGGGTTTACAACCGATCTAGATACCCACACGGTTCAAACCTCAGCCCATACTGCAGCTTCCTCACCATTTTCTGCAGCTCCACGGTGCTGATCCTTCCTGCCTCCTTCTTCATCTGGTCCACACACTTCTGGGCCAGGTTCAGATAGGCCTGCAAGTGGTGACGGATCATCGCCAGCCTTAGCACACAGAGGAGGATGATGACCCACAACCGCAGAGTGTCATAGGTGGTCTCTGTCATTCTGGGGAATGAAACAGACTAGAGTCACCGATATTCCAGCATGAGGTTAACAGCCTTCAACATAGTAACTAAAAGTTACAAAGGTTCACCTAAAAATATGGTAGTTCAAATAATCTGAGTCACGTAATTACAAAACCTCATTAACTTTTAAACAAGATTTTCAAAACGCAATTAACAATTTCTTCAAGGCAGTATGACCAATGCAGTGACAAGAAGCGTTAACTATGAAATGCTGGAAAGTATACAGAGGAGTTACTGCAGAGCAGCACTAACCAGGAACAGCCCTTTGTGTTGCTGTGGAATTGTGACTGGTCTATAACCTCCCTTAAAAAATCTGCTAATTAATGCAATCGTGTAAAACATATGAAATCATCATAAATTACAGCAAAGCAGGAAATACAGCTCCAAAAACATTGTGAAACGGATTGGAAGCAAAGAGTTATGAATATTAAATGTTTCTGTGTATGTCTGAAATTAGGACGCAGAACCTTACAGAAAAGCTCCATTACTACAACCTCGAGGGATGTGATGTACAGCATCATGCACAGAATGCAGCTTCAATTTCCTGATTATCTGGACACTGGAAGCAACACTACTGTTAGTGTCTTTGGGGAATACACAAAGAGTTTTTCAATTGTGAGTTTTGATAGCACTGATGCCAGTTTTGTATTCTAGCATCAGCTCTGAACTGTTCTCTTGTGCTGTATCATATTTATCCTTTATTGACAAAACAGTTGTTGGTTTTTTTGTGCCCTCGTTACACTGCACGGTGCGTAAGGCTTCCTTCTCCATTTTACATTTTGAGTCTCAAACAGAAAACTGTGTTTGCTCTGGAAATAAAACCACTTGGCCCTGAGCAACCAAGAATGTGGTGAAGGAGAACTTTTATTAAATTTATTAAAGTACTGTAATGCGCAACGTTACTAAGCTGGGTAAGAGTGAAGTCCAGTCTTAAAGGATCCTCAGTATCGGCAATGTGGCTGCACAGTCAAATGTTTTGCAATTTCCATAAAGAAAAAACATCTTTTGAACGCACAACAGAAAGGCGCATCAATAACACTCACAAAGGCACACTCTCTTTACCCAGCGTTGGGTTCATTATGTAGTCCTTGGTTATAGGCTTCACCCACAGAAGTACCATAATTAGAGGCGCCAGGAAGTTGATATGTAGCAAAGTCCTACAAAGGCAAAGAAGCAAAATTAGTTTCAAGGCTATTCAGTGATTGTAACAGGCTGCCATAATTCACAGTCATTATCTGATATACATTTTTTGGCCCCCGTTAATACTGACATAATTCATCATTATTTTGTAAAGCCCCAAAAAGGATTATACGAGTAAACGCAAATAAGTGCAGTAACCACCAAGTATACTGCTGTTAGTTAAGGTTCAGGAATCACGCAGCTAAAACGAACAAGGAAATGTAGGTGTAAATCAAGATTCAGAATTTAAACGTGCTGCAAAATTGCAAAAGAAAAAGCAAATTAATAACCACGTAACTAGAACGAATAATGTTTCTAAATATACAACGTTCGAATTTCTTCATACCCTGAAAACACGCTCAAAAGGAATGTTATAACTTAATCCTCAAGCCAGATGCGTACTGAGCTGGTCTGACGTTTTGGCTTCTTGATCTGAAAAGCACTAATTTATGCAGCAGAAGACCTCCCTGAGTGACCGTACCCCTGCCAGAAAAATGAGAAGCTGGTGGAGAGGACTGCGACTGAAACGTTATCAAGCACTTTTGCCCGGTCTTCCCTGCGGCTTCTGGGCTCTGCTGAACCCAGTGGCGGAAGGAAGCTGTAATTGATCGGCTGGCCAGACCATGGAGCACACTGCCAGTATCTCTTAAGACCCAAGTTTTAAAGAACCCAGATAACTGAAGCAGCAGTGCTTTCACATATACTTTGACTGAAATTGCACAGCTGCAGCTGGTAACATAGATGCCCAATGAAAACCAATTACCAAAAGCATCACCAATATTTAAATTGTTTTTATTGTGAATTTCATTTGTTGGTTTTTTTTACTATAAAGTGTTATTAAAGCCAAAACACATGTATATCTCCAACTAATATAGTAGCCTTTACATATTGTTAGGTATAACTTAAGATATTAAATAAAGTGTATAACATGCTTGGTTACATGATATGGGCACCTGTACAATAACCATTTGCTTTTAATCCCCCACAGGACAAAAACAGCAGGAGATTAATATGCAGTTTAAGGGCAAAAGCATTTTGATTTGTCTTGGTGCAGATCAGTAACCTAGACTACAGCAGGAACATACTCAGTTCTTTGTAAGCATAGAATCCGATGTATTGAATTTCAGTAACAAGGAGTTAATGAACCTGTAAATCTATGGTCTCTTAAAAGAAGAAAGTGGTTTAGAATCTCTAGGGACTGCTTACTACAAAGAGCTCCCCCATGTGAAAACTAGTTGGGTTGGAAGTAGTAAGAAGAGATTTAAGGCATTCATTTGTATTACCTGTCAGTTTAGCAATCAACCTGCACAACAAGCTTAGGAAATGTTAAGCTTAAGGTGCACTGCGTAACTATTCAATCCATTACAGATCGTGAAAGTTCTTACGTACAAAAAAGGAACTAAAGGCAAAGCAATCAGTTACAATCACTATTGCAGCTGCTGGAAGAACAAATCACAACAGAAATAGGGCACAAAAATGTACAGTCAATTCTGGCAAAAGAGGCACAACCAACATCAATATCAGGGGTTTCGAGGGAAGACCAACCCATAGATCTGAGCGAGCAAGGGATTGTGAAAAATAATCCCTCGCTGAAGAAGCCCAGCGACTCCAGGCCTTGTAAAACACCAACCCAAAGGTGAACAGGTTATGGAAGCCTGCCATCACAAAGTGGATTATCTCTCCAGCTGCTACCAAGTCATGCATCTTATTTACACCACCTGACGCGAGGTGAAATGGAAACCAGTTCCAGCTGAAAAATAATCAACTGCTCTGTACAGCTTAATATCCTATTTTGATGGGAGCACCAAGAACGGTTCATGTAAGGTACAGGCCAAACGACTGTGCGGGTGTGGATTTAAAAAAAAAATCCTCTCATCGTTTTGCACAACGTGACCTTCCTCACCATCTTGTTTTCTTCTGTTTTCAGTTGAACGCTGTTTTCTACAATATAAAACTTTTCTGTCTGGAGAAAACAATGGTCATTCCCACCAGCAAGTCAAACGTACTATTTAGAGAAAAGACAACTGCTGTGAAATACAGTCCAATTTCCACAATATGCAACACATCAGAAAATAAACCCTAGACAACAAATAGTAGATAAGTAGAGAACAGAGCTGTGCAAAAGTTTACAAGTTCAGTGACAGACAATTAAGAGCTGCCTGGGAAAAAAAAATGAAAATCAGAGGAAAAACAAGACCTCACAAACAATGCCAAGAGTGAATTTCTTAATCCAATGAGGAATACCTATAAATCTCGTACTTCATCATAATATGAATGGTCAAATCCAAAACATTTCTGAAAACAGACTGTTTAGCAAACAATCTGTTATTTTCTACTCATCATAGGTCACAGTCAAATCATATAAGCCTGTCATATTAAAATATAGGAACAAGTCTATAGTCATTAGCACACTATATTTTAATATAGTGTGCTAATGACTCACTGAGACTCATTTGCGCACCATTGCGACCAACACAGTAGAGAAAAGATATTACTTATCCAGAAGATATATTCTCCCATACAAATGTGGTCAAAATCCTCAGAGACATTGACAAAGGCAAACCAGCACACTTCTGACCAGTGGAAACTACATGGAAGTGCATTTAAATCTGACAACAGAACTTATCCAAATGGTTGTGGGAGTGGTAGAACAAGCTGTCTGCTTGACATACCCTGTCTCCCTTCAAAACATGGCTGGCTGAAACCCGTAGGTCTTCTAACTATCAAACAGGACAGATGGGCTCAATGGACTCCTCTTCTATGTTTAGCTTGGTATGCTTCTTGGTCCTTCCTTTAATTTTATCTAACACCATCACACTTAATACTAATTCCCTAGAGAAATAAACCGGGCTTCTGTACCAACAGGTTAAATAAAGAGTACTCACTATAAAATAAACAGGAACTGTGTTTCTGTTCCTGAACCTTTTGGCAGAGATATAACTTTTAAAACACCTTAGTGTATTTGAAAGGTAAATGGCAGAAAATCTATGTGAGCAGAGCTTGGTTCTGTGGCCTCATTTCATTAAAGTGATCATATTAGTAGATTATACCAATTTCTAATTTAGTAGTCTTTCCGAATTAGTAATTCCCACCACAGCATTCTGCCGTAGGACTGATAACACTGCCACTTACTGTGTTACTTTTGCTGTTGCCAAGTTCAACGCATCCAGGTGCATCTGAGCTAAACGCAAGCCAGGAAATGTTAGGAAAGCACCGATGACGGAACACAGCAAAGCCAGGAACAGCTTGAATGTTAGCTTGGATATCGGGCCCCTACAAGATAAACAGATAACATTTAATATGTCATGAACACATCTCATACTCTGCACTCAGTATCACACTGAACGGCTGCAATGATAATCAGATAACTTACTGGGACTCCAGACCCTGCTTTTCAAGAAACTGCACAGCACTTTCAGAAAAATTGGCAAACCCTAGAGAAAAAGATGAACATTGTAGTTCAGTAAAAAGGATGATACATAGGAATATGCAGTTGAAGTTTTACACATTTACACACCGACCTCAAGTGAAATTCCAGAAGTATAACCCAATAAAGAGGAGGACTGAGGGGGAAGACGATAAAGTTTGCTTGTCACCTCATTAAAATACGATACAGTCTGTTCTTTACAAGTTCTAGTCCTTGACAGAAAACAGAGAACAGCCCACCATGTCCTCTTTTTTCTGAGAAAGGATGTTAGATCAATGCAGCACCATGCAAAATACTAAAAGTCTGCATTGACACTGTCCCAGTTCTCTACCTTTATAATAAAAAGTAAATGCTTGGGCTTCCCAAGGTGGCTCAACAGGTAAAAGGGTGCTCACCTGAGCACAAGTTGAAAACTGTGCTCACAAATTCATGCCTGGGTCATGCCATTAAAAGAGGAGTAGATGACAAGTGGGCGGGGAGGAGGAGTCTGCCCACATTTTCTTACTCTTCCCCGTGTGCGGTCACAGGGTTCGTAACTGAGTTTTTTAAAACACATAGCTGCCAATTTCAAATCAGGTGGATGTAATAAATAAAACAACTGCTGAATTAAAGAAGTAAATGCAGAAAAAGGAGGCAGAGACAACAATATTACAGCTAAAACAGAGCCGTATTTCTGGAAGTAAATACATTTGGCCAGCAGCCATATCACCCTGCAACTCACAACTGGCAACCCACTGAAGCTAAGCAGGTGTGAGCCTGGTCAGTACCTGGAAGGGAGACCTCCTGGGAAAAACTAAGGTTGCTGCTGGAAGAGGTGTTAGTGGGGCCAGCAGGGGGCGCTCACCCTGTGGTCCACGTGGGTCCTAATGCCCCAGTATAGTGATGGGGACACTATACTGTAAAAAGGTGCCGTCCTTCGGATGAGACGTAAAACCGAGGTCCTGACTCTCTGTGGTCGTTAAAAATCCCAGGGCGTTTCTCGAAAAGAGTAGGGGTGTAACCCCGGCGTCCTGGCCAAATTTCCCATTGGCCTTAACCAATCATGGCCTCCTAATAATCCCCATCTATGAAGTGGCTTCATTACTCTCTGCTCTCCTCCCCACTAATAGCTGATGTGTGGTGAGCGTTCTGGCGCACTATGGCTGCCGTCGCATCATCCAGGTGGATGCTGCACATTGGTGGTGGTGGAGGGGAGACCCCATTACCTGTAAAGCGCTTTGAGTGGAGTGTCCAGAAAAGCGCTATATAAGTGTAAGCAATTATTATTATTATTATTATTTTTTGCATAAATTACAAAGCAATACACTGTACAGTGGCAGCCCAGAAATAGACCACCTCAAAGGATTCTGGGTCACAGCATTGAATCCAGTATCAGCCTTGGAGATCTTGAGAGATGCTATGACTGTACTTGCACTGCTGTAGCTACTGTAACATTTGTTTCTTCTTTCTACTTTTCATTGGAATTAACCTTCAGTTGTGAATTGCAGCCAATGCACACTGACACAGCTCCCCATTTGAATTGGTGGTGTACGTAACAAATAAAATATGTTTCTACTGTTGCATCCCTACTCCAAATAGGGAAGAGATAATAAAAGTAAAATGATTTAAATCAAATATCACGTATTTGACTTATAGGTCAATTAATGCATTTTAACTCAGTGCTTCACACAGATGTACTTGCTCATTACATGTGATTTTGAACAAAGTAAATTGGCTTTGAAATATCTTGTTGTGCAAAGCTCTACACAAACTATCGATCCAAAAGCCATGAGCAGATCTGAAGCCACATGGTGCCCACTAATTGCTTTGAACACATTTTCTCCAGCTCAGCTTCTTTGTCAATATATGTGATACAGTTCACTTTCCTTTACCACTGGTGTTAGCTGTCCAGACACCAGTCTTCCCAGCTCATCAGAGACAAAAATGTTGCATTTTTTAAATCATGTCCCCTTGCCCCCTTTCCAAAGTCTAAACAATAGAGGAATGCTAATTCCTTAAGGATATTGGCTAAAAATATAGCAAGTAAAGTGTCATATATATATTTTGAATTATAAACATTTTACAACATAAAAGGAAATGTTCCAGCATCATCATTATGGTAACTGCTTCCATCAAAAATGGAACAGCACAGACCAGCTCAAGTGACTGCAGGTCATCATACAGATGTTCTTGAAGCAACAAGCAATTAGATGTTTACTGCTGCTACCTGTGCTTTTGTAATCTGGTACTTTAATAAAACTTAACTAGAGCAGTTTGACCAGCATCTGTTTCACTGCACCAATGCCTCCTGCAGAGTTAGATGAGAGTCAGAGAAAATGAGGGCAACTATTTTCAAAGAGACTTGAAAATGGCAGCCAGCAGCCATATCACCCTGCAACTCACAACTGGCAACCCACTGAAGCTAAGCAGGTGTGAGCCTGGTCAGTACCTGGATGGGAGACCTCCTGGGAAAAACTAAGGTTGCTGCTGGAAGAGGTGTTAGTGGGGCCAGCAGGGGGTGCTCACCCTGTGGCTCATGTGGGTCTAATGCCCCAGTATAGTGACGGGGACACTATACTGTAAACAGGCACCGTCCTTCGGATGAGACGTAAAACCGAGGTCCTGACTCTCTGTTGTCATTAAAAATCCCAGGGTGTTTCTCGAAAAGAGTAGGGGTGTACCCTGGCATCCTGGCCAAATTTCCCCATTGGCCTTTATCAATCATGGCTTCATTACTCTGCTCTCCTCCCCACCGATATCTGATGTGTGGTGAGCATTCTGGTGCACTATGGCTGCCGTCGCATCATCCAGGTGGATGCTGCACATTGGTGGTGGTGGAGGGGATCCCCATTGCCTGTAAAGCGCTTTGAGTGGAGTGTCCAGAAAAGCGCTATATAAGTGTAAGCTATTATTATTATTATTATTACTTGAGTGAGCCCATTTAAAGAGAGGACTATGGGATTCCTCATCTTCAAGTTACTGTGCCAGAGCAATGATCTCTGGCAGATCGAGAACATGACATCTTCGGGAAACTTTGTTGCTTAAAGGGCTAATTAAAGTTTGCTCTTTAATCACTTCCATTCATAAAAGTTTGATTAACAGCCATTCCAGAAGTCTATCTTTGCTTTTATAAGGAAATGTTAGATTACCATAATTTGAAAAAAAAGCTTGGTTTTATTTAATGAGAAAGCATTACCCGGATTGGATTTTAACCACAGGTTTTTAAAGGCAGAGCTGCCCTACTGATACGCATGATTATTTGTCTATCCGAAATGCTGATAGTACCTGTTTCGAGCCCAAACTCCAAGTAATTCTCCGTCACAATCAGAATCGCCATGGCTTTGACAAAAAAGAAGAATGCGAATGTGATGCAGACTGAGCGCTCCCCACCTTCTTCTACCCTGAAGTAGTGAGCGGTCAGTGAGAAGAGGACCTTTCTGGGAAACGGAAATGTTAAGGACATCAGGCACAATCCGTCAGAACAACATTCTTCTAAGAGAGAACAAGAACGTTCACAGAAACCGATACAAGATGCAAGGCTTCGGCTAACTCAAAAGCATGCATTAACTAGTAAAATATGACCCGTTTTCTTAAAATTAGGGCTCTTTCGGACTAATTATCGAGAAAAACTTTTTTATACTCCTAAATGCCAGCTTCTGCTCCTCTGTAACCCACATTTAAAGCCAATAAGACTAAAAACATTGGAGAATGAACATCAAAGGCTTTGTTTTTTGGGAAAACAGATCACAATCCAACCTGCATATACAAAGCAAAGAAAGCCCATTTTTTTATACAAATTCTACACCATTTTCTTTTTTAATGACAAATGTGGTGACATCCAAGCATTTCTATGTGCAGAACATTTCTAGTTATCTGCTGAAGCAGAATGCACACTGTGACCATTCCAAGAACCAAACTTCAAAAAACACCCCCATTGCCATTACACAGAAGAGACTTTGGCCATTTTTATAAGATTCAGGAAACAATTTACATTCATTTTGACCCATGGATCCAAGTACCATCAGAAAAATGAAAATGCATTCTAATAAACCTTCCACTTTTCGAACTGTTCGGTGTTTGGGAATTGCAATACAAACAGCAGTGCTTAAAAATACAAACTCAAAGTCAATTTGTCAAAACTGGTTTTTCTTTGTCAAAATGTGTTCTCTGACCCTAAAACTGAAAATCACATTTTCTTCCCTGTTCAACGTGCATACAGCTGCTTAAGATTCGTCCACAAAATGATTACTTCCATTTTGAGTTCAACATTTCAGATACTGACAGTTTTTTCTGTGCTGTTCAGAGCATACGCTCAAGGGCGAATTTCAGTTTTTGTTTCCTTACACAGTACAGATCTCCCCTGTCACACACATGGAGACATTTCCACCTAAGGGTAAGAGCAAATCAACCCTATAGCACTGTCATGGCTAAATCAGCCACTATAAAGCTACAATTTTTGGAGATTAAAAAAAAATAAATTTGGAAGTAGCATTTCAAATTTCTGTTTTTAACTTAAAACTCTCGATGCTTTAACATAGAAGGATCTGGCTGGGTTTGCTCTTTCATATTTAGATAGCTGCCACTAGTGCTGCTCTGTGCTTAGCTGCTGCTCGGTCATAATGTTCTTCAAATCAATCAGCGTACCCTTGGAGAACGATAATTTCCTTTACATGCACCAACGCCCACCTGAAATAATTTGGGAAACTGAACATAAGAAGGACTAACGTACCTACCATAGAGTTTGGAAAATGCAATTTAATCTCACTACAAAATCTGAGTTCCTTAAATCAGCAAATGGTTTCCTTAAAACCATTAATTAAACATTTGTTTTGAGATTAAGTTATCATTTTTTACAGTGGGCTGGACAGCTCCGTTGGCAGAACACAGTAATGCAAGGGTAGGGGGTTCAATACCCATCAGCTCCACAATGCCAACCTGCCCTGCCAGTGTGAAAAGACCTTCATCACACAAAGCACTGACTCCTTGTAGAAGGCAGTAGTTGAAACAAGTAACCTGAACTCTGTAACTGTTAGACAGACAAACTCAATTCAAAATCTTTAATGAGGAATAATTCAATTACGTAACAGAGTTACACTGGAGAAACAATTGAAAGAATCTGTGTACAAAGGTAGATCGGAGAACGAAATGCATTGCTGTTACGTTACTAAGGCTGTGACATGGCAGTGCAGGGCAGAGCAGTGGCTCTGTGGCTCAGGATCTGCGCCTGTGGCTGGAAGGTTGACGGTTCAAATCCAGCAGCCTGCAGAGGAATCCTACTCCGGAGGGCCCCTGAGCAAGGCCCTTAGCCCCAACTGCTTGTAAATGGCTGACCCTGCGCTCTGACCCCAAGCTTCTCTCCCTGTCTGTGTGTCTCATGGAGAGCAAGTTGGGGTATGCGAAAAGACAAATTCCTAATGCAAGAAATTGTATATGGCCAATAGAGTGATCTTATCTTATTTAAGGCAATCACCAAAAATATTTTTTACAACTGGGCTAAGGGACTCCTCACAGTGAAGATCGCCTGGTGAGATCTGCTGTACGTGACGAGCAAGAAGTGCGATACCGAAAAGAAAGCGCAGTGAAAACCCGGCGACACCAAGAGCTTCAGGGGAAATGGAACGACCCCAGAGGGCGCAGATCCTGACAGCACGGAGCATTCGTGTGGACGACGTGTGAAACACGGCAAAACATGGAAGCTGCAAGTCCTTGAACAGCTAAGGTACCGATTTTTTAAAAAGTAGGAACGTCATCTTTTGCACAGACTGAAGCCCAATGTGATTAGCAACAGCAGTGCAGTTTCTGAATTGCAGGTCCACAAGACCGTCCACGCTTTTCATTGTGGCTGTCATCGATCCGATGACTTATCAGTGTCTGCTGATAAACCACGCAGACAAGGAGCGAGTACTGTACTTTCATCTGACATATCTCATGAGATGAATGCTGTTAAGTCAAAGCTGTCAATGAGCAACATGCTGGTTTACTTTATTACTGTTTTTGTTTTAAACCAAGGACAGAGTTAAGAAAAAAGTCTTAACAAACAAGCAGAACAATTCTACACATCAGTGATCAAGGGTGCAGCCCTTAATTGTTTTGGTGGCAGAAACAGAGGTGCTCCCAAAACAAGAATACCACAGATCCAGAACAAGTGCCATAACCACAATCCTCCCAGGAATGAAAACTTTGCCCTTTTGGTAATGTTTGGTTTGGCTCTTTACCGTACCAAGTCAGTCTAACATGAAGAATCACCCACCCCCTTCAAATCTCCAAGTTACTACTTTGTTTCAAAATATCGCACCACAGAAGCCTTTTTGAATCCTGTCTGTTACGTAAATGTATGTTTTAAAATAAAATAAAAAAATATTTGTCACACCTCACACAAGACACTACTTTTCTTAAGCACAATGATAGCTTGCTGTTAAAGAATGTAATCCTAAAACGGCCTTATGTGCATAAAGCGAAGGAGAGGTCTTTAAAGTCTCTTGTGCATTTTATTTGATCCTGTTCGTTTCCAGGATGGATCTTCAGAGTGCAAACTAAAATCCGCGTTTTTCCGCAAAGAGATTTTTAGCAGCAAAACACTCCTGGAGACAACTAAATTTTACAAGGGTCTATAAACATGTTTACTGCACAGACACACTGCCCTCATCATTTCCATTACAAGTAAAGAGGATAGGGCTCATTAAAGGGCCTTTTACCACTCCGCTGTGTCAACAAGAACATTTAATAGCATGTTATCCCCTGGATAGATCATACAGGCACTGAACACAGTGCAGGACTGCTTCAGCTCCCTGGGGATAAGATGTGTACTGTGGGTGAAAGAGCATTTCGCTCTTCTGCCCCTAGCCTCTGGAAAACCTTGCCACTTTCTATCACAATCTCAGACCCTGTGACTGCTGAATTTGCTATTGCAAATCAACCCTCAGGCAACCTGTTACAGTCTGTTCAAAAATTTGTGAAGTACACGGACAAAAAAAAGTTATTTTTACTAACATGATCAAAAAAAATCGCTGAAAGGTTTTCGTCTTCAAATGCAGGAAATTAGGGAAGCGAAGTAGTGTTTCCATCTCCTGTCAAAATCATTGCTTTAATGAAATGAATGCATCCTGCATGCCAACAGGAAATCGGTCAGCTGCATTTTCAATTTATGCTATCTAGTACTGTATACAAATGCTTGTAGCTTAGGCAGACAAACTACAATGTCACTCAACACACTTTGACAATGAAGCAGAAGCACTGAAACACTACTCTGGACCTGGCATTCTATTCATAAAATGAGCAACTATCAACTGATTAGAAATCAGACCTGTTCGTAGTAAGAAAAGCTCTTTCAGTTTGTAGGACACGAAGTTCACTAAACTATTCCCACTTCCATCTACCACATTTCATCAGAAGGAACCCGAGTCACAAAAAGACAACCACAACAAATAAATATTCTTTACATATACTTTGGGCTTACCGACTTTATAAATTGCGATTCTGTTTGCCTTGTACACTAATTACTGAGCAGCAGGGCTGTTTATTAGGTTCTGAAGCAAAGTAGCTGACCACCCAGAGTAGAATCTGATCCAAAAATACATTCCAGAAGCAGGCTCTTAGGCTTATTTCACATATATAAATATAGGAGACCAGATACACTTATCAGAAGCTGGGGGGAAGTTTTTCTCGCAGAGAGGCAGATGAAGCTGAAATTGAGTAGGCTGCTCATAGTACATCCAGCTATATCATCATCTCTCAAGCTTTTCAAGGAAATCAGCTTGGTGTGCCAGAAAAATTGGGTCTTCAATTTTCTGCAGCAAGCAATACAACGGTACTGAACACCTCCACAGCAGTGAACTTTTAACAAGTGAGATTTAACCTTCAGACTGTGGCAGGACTGATTCTTATGATTTGGTGACTAGTTAGTGGGGAAAAAAAACAAACATTAGTTACAATTTTCTAGCACTACATTTCTAGTTGAGGGCTACATTTTCCTATCACCAAAAGGTACAGGATAAATTCAGTACGCCACATGCAATCTCTTCCTACTAAGGTTGCAAATCCCAGCAGACAAAAAAAAACAACTTTCAGACATAACATGCACTTTGCCTACAGCTGCAGTACAACAAGATTCTTCTTCCTACTTTCTGCTTTTGCCGCCATGTGAAGTCAAGAAGAAGCATTAACCTGCAATCATCAAAACACAGGAATCGAGGCAAACACAGAGTTGTAGCGTACTTCAAATTCTTCGAGTATAACTTTTATAGACAAAAGGTCCAATACATTTCAAATCATAGTAAATACATCACAGGAGGCTGGACACCGACCTGTAGTATTGTAATGGAGCTCTACGATTTTCCTCAGCACACCTCATCCTTGGCCATGCGTTACGCTTACAGATTAACTTTGCTAGCTGCGTAGAAGGATTCTTCAACACTGGTTTAGAGGTGTTCTTATTTTTGTCCCCCATTCAGTTTGGCATGAACAGCACCCTCTCCACACTTAAATTCAATGTCCCTGGTCTTGACATGAGCAATTGGTTTTTACGTGCATTTTGCTAAGGGCCTGTCTACTCTGTGGACAATGCCAGGCAACCCAACTCCAGGGAGACATGCATCAAGGACTCCGAATCACCAGCAGTGTACCATCGGAACAGCATTGTTTTGGGAATAGAGTCTCCCACCTCCACTACTTCTCCTTTTTAGCTTTTGGTGGCACTGGCCATGCTGGAAACTGAGGCTCTTTGGGATCTGTGATGATGGTGTCCTGAGCTTGGATGACCGTTGCCAGGCTTGGAGTAGAATCAATCTGTTGATGTGATCTCTATCATGGTGTGGGGTTGTTGGAATGGGCTGCTGTATTTTACTTTCTTTGACAACCAGCCTCTCTCGGTTACTTACTTCATGTTGCAAAATTTGGCGGCACATACCTCCCCACATGCGGGACTTTTCATGGTCTTTGCTTTCAACATTATTTTCAACATTATTTTTGGTTGATGAGAAACAGCATGGCTTTTTTAAATGTACAAACACAACTATAGTTTTATACTGTATGAAAAAATAGTAAATACTAGACACATGGAAAATGTCTTATCCCTAAATGGATTGTAGCTTCTCACATTGAGTCCTGAAGGGCTTGTAGCTTCTTTGCATTCTCTAATTCACTGCTTATGGGTTTATATCAAGAAAACCATGGAATGACAAAAAGGCAAAAGTGTGAATTCAGTGGTCATGTTTTCCTGATTTCACTCTGTTAAGTGAACTTTAGAGGGAACGTCCTTTTTAGATGAGGATTTTTAGTTTTACAAACACCTTTCAACATGCTGCAGAGGCAAAGTAAAAAGAGTATTTTGGGTGAAGTTATTTTCTACTTCTAAGCCTGACACTGTACAAATGCTAGCTGCCAGATCTGAGGAGGCACTATATTATTTTAACATCAGAAGCAGAAACTCGTGCAGTTGCACCAACCTGAAAATCAAGCTGCCCGATGCGAAAGGAAATTATATTCATTACAGATTTCAAGCAGCCTGTTTAACTTTACTGAGCAGCTAAAAGCACGTCTGAAAACTCTGACTGCTTAGTACCATTTTTGGCTTTTTCATTCACGCCTTTTTTAATACCTAATAATAATCTAAGGAAAGAACCTATACAGAGAATCTTATTTGAGCTTATTTGAGCTATACCACTCTTTGTCCTTATTTTGAAGTAGGTAGTGTTTTTTTCCTCTTTTACTTTTCACTTGGGTTGTAAAAAGCAACTTACTAAAAGCTTGAAAGACAATCCATCAATGAAATAATTGTCAGAAGTGATGGAGCACGAAAAGGATTACAAACCCAGCAGGACATTTATTACTCTTTTTTAGCTGAGACCACAGAGTGTGCTCCATTTAATTTAATGACAAAATTACTAGATATTAAACTGGAATTCCTAATTTATTTATTCCTCACAATAATGGGAGCTAAATTCATGCACCTTTTAGAAGAAATGCTGTATGAAAAGTTATCCTAAGTGCATCCCATTAAATTTCACTTTAAAAAACACAGTGAAAGACTGCTGAGCAAATTAGCGCAGGATACAAACGCTATTTAAGCACAAAACCAATTTGAGGAAACAGAAAATCCAGGGTTTGTTGATATCGTTTTTGAAAACCCATGTTGAAAACAGCTAGTATATGGTTTTCAAAACGAAGTGTGCTTTAAAGAAACTGTTACTTGCAAACAGAGTTACATCGTTAACAGAAAGATTAAAAGCAGTGCATACAATAAAAGCCTTGACACTTTCATAAAGGATACATCACAAAGGCTAGGACAAGCAGGCACCAGATCACACTGATGTTCATCTCACTGGAGGGCTTCATCAAGCTGTAGTAGAACTCCGTAATGAGATACACTATCGTGGCTGCAACTGTGAAGTCCACCAGCCACTGGTACTCAGGGAAGTAATGCAAAGCTGAAAAGCAAAGAGGAAAGTTTTGAAATTGATGTCAGTTCCTTTCTCGGTATTGGAATTCACACCAACAATCGCGACCAAATTTGAGGTTTTCAACAAGTAACTCAGTGCAGTGCTGTTACGTAATCAACCTTTAAATCCAATTGCTGTGGTGGAGACAATCTATGAACATTTACAGCTTTAGTGAGAATGCATCCATTAAATAGCAGCAAGACGGAACGAAGAAGAATAAGTCCCTTATTTACAATCTTCGGCAACAAACACTCTGCTTTAAGCCAGAGTGATTTTGGAGGGAAAAAAAATGGATTTATTTAAAACTAAACTGCAGAAGCTAGTAGTCATTGAGGGTCATGAAGTGGGTCATGGTTAAAGATATGTTTTGAGCACTGAGCCTTTCTATCCCTTCTGTAAAACATGAAGGGTTAAACAAATTGGAAAAAGAGTATTGCGGTTTTGATTTGGGTTGAATATCTACAACAGAGTCAGAAGGGGAGTGCCACGTGGTAGAGTTAGATGATTTCAAGATGGCGCCGTCCCAGACGACATCCCACCTGTAGCTCTCTCTGCTTGTTCTTATGGATTTGTGTGCCACTAATGATAGCCCTACTTACATTTTGATTAATAAAAATTAATAATAAAATATCTCACATGAATAAGTTAGTAGGCACAGATTACCACCCAGTGTCATCCTTGACCTTGCTGAGTTCTCCAATCTCAGGCTTGTAGCAGAGTCTGAATCTGCCTGGGTACCACTGTAGTCTTCACATTATCGAGCTCACAATTTGAAACCTTGGTACAAAGATTTTTCTGGTGAATAATTAAATGAAAATTTACAGTGGGGTGACCAATGACCCGCAATGATCTATACGAATACCTTCCTTTTTTTTTAACCGAAGCATGGGCACCATCGGTCGTCACAGAAAATATTTTCTTGATGTAATTCCCACTTTCAAAATGATTAATCGACATCTTAGTTGTGTCTTACCCTATGGTCGTGCCACGCATGGGTTTTAGGCAGCATAGCTCTTCTCCAATTCCATCCGAGTCACAGTATCTCAAGAATGGCTAACAACGGCACACTCAAGAGCACAAACAGCTCGGTCTTTATGTTGAACAAATCCATATTCATCTTTCCCATACGGCTGAAATGAGTGAACCCCTAAACTTTGATTTCTCAGCAAGTGACTGTTTGTCTAAAATGTCTGACTTAATAGTTCAGTGAGAAAAATGTTATCAATGGCACGGACTGTGAGCTTTCCTGTGAAAATAATAGGAAAGCCCCGCTAAAAACAATGCAGTAAATAAACCAATGGAATTGTTTTTTTTTCTAAAGAGCTTTCATTGTCTAGCATGCTGCAGAGAATTATAGAACAGTAAAGTGCAGTTTTTAATTTCTTTGTGGCTTTTTAGATTTTTATTGTACGTGTCGTTATAAACCACTTTAGGTGCCAATAATGGCACACGTTACCAACCCTTCATCTACACCAATACCTTTCTGTATCAACATTTCTGCAACTGCAACATGCACTATACCATAAAATTACTTCCCAGCTAACCGCAGAAATGTCGATGTAGGATGAGACTCTTGCTGCTTATTTCTGGATTGTTAAAATGTAAGATACAGAATGTGAAAAGATAAAATACAACCAGCATCTGGAGAGAAGTAAAAGGATATCTAAGTAGTGTTTCAAAGGGTAGCCTAGATTAAAGACACTTATTTAAAAATCTTTAAATGAAAATAACCGTTTACTGCATGCGTGGCTACAAAGACAATGTTCACATGAGACACACAACAGGTCTTAGGACAGGATTTCTAGGTTTGCTAAAGTTCATACCCCCTTACAAATGTCTCAGTATTCCGAAGATTTCAATAATCTTACCTAGTGTGTCCACTTCAGCGATTGACTTCGTCTCCAACTGTAGATCAATGTCTTTAGGAACGGTCATTGGCTTATTTTCTATATGCCCATTGTACTTCCTGAACCAGACAAAAAAAAGCACTGTAAAAGATTTGCGTTTTTCTTCGTGTTCTTCTTAGGCTTGTTCTCTCTGTCACTGCTTTGTCGTCTCAGCAACACTGGACTGAGCCTCTTAGCCTGGTCCTTAAAGGGTTTGTTCTCAACTGACTTACCTAAATAATTAAAGGATTATTTTGAGATGAGAAGCACTTACAAAACACTTGAAATTTTACTTCTGTAGTTGTATTCTGTCTGCTGGAAAAAAATATTTAATATAAAAGGAGGCAATTAAACCTCTGACTAGTTAATTGGCTGCTTAAAACTCTGGTGTGCTTATAATAAAAGTTTGAAAAATGTTTTTTTGTTCAAAGATCTAGAAACATCCCTATTCTTCACATACTTGCAGCTTTAATTCAGAGCTTAATCTGTAGCAAATGCCTTATGCATGCTTTGTAAGAACAAGGAGGCTATGATGAAAAACCACTGCATCTACCAGTCTCAAGGAGACATGGGGACAAATTTATCACAGCACAGAGAACTAGATGGGCCAAATGGCCTTCACTCATTTGTAACCACTGTTAAACAGGATTCTGAAGAAAAGGATATAAATAAGCAGGTCCTCTGCTTATCCTTCTGGCTTTTGCACATGCTCATTGTCCACATGAATAATGGCTGACATGAGGGAGCATCATGGTCACTGATATCCCACAATACCTTGGTGCCACGGTTTGCACAATTACCTCCCACAAAGTCTAAGAACTGTTAAGATCATTATTGTGAATTATTTCAGAAACCCTCACAAAACTATACCTTCAACTTTGCCTCCACGGTAAAGGAGCAAACAGAAGTATCTACAGTGATATGAAAAAGAAAGTCCGCCCCCCTTCCGATTCTATGGCTTTACATATTAAGACCTATCTGACCTTCATAGGGTCCTCACCAAGTCCTAACAGTAGATAAATCTAACCTCATGTGAAGGGTAACACACACATTTTACTTTGTCATTATTTATTAAACAAAAACAAAATAACCCAAAACTGTGTAGCCTTGTCTGCCGGTGCTCTCTTACTGCTTCCATATCAGTTAAGAATGTAAGCAGAATCAGCAGAACGTAAGCTAAACAAGTGCCCATGATTGGTTGGCCAACAAGTGCTTTCAGAAACAGTCAGCTTGGTCTGGAGCATTCAGGTTTGTGGTAACACAGCTATATGTGCGCTTTCTTGTTTTCTGAAGTTTTAGCTTTGCCTTATTTAAAGCACTGGAAGTTGCATTTGAAAAAAGAGCTTTAATCTGTAAAGATGATCAATGATAATGAAATTCATAAACCTGTCCTGTTAAAGCAAATCGAAACGTCTATATCCCGGTTGAGAGAACGGGAGGTAGAAGCACACCTGGCGATCTTGCGGTTGGCAATTGCAAATTGCAACAAGAAGGGAATCCTATTTTTCCTATGGGCGATCCCCAATTGAAAAGGGGAAACAGACTCCCCCTCCTCTGCCGCCAACCCTGAAAAAATGTTTATACTTGGAAAAATATGACTAGGGTTTGTTTAATCTACCCTTTACCTTTAGCAGGATACCCGAATTCACATGCACTGTGTGGCTAAGAACAGCGATCCCAGTCTGTAGCACAAGCCCACCATTCCTAGTACAAACTCTGCTGGGGAGTCAACAGCACATAAGTTAATTTGTGTATTTTTATTATTAGTGTCGGTTGAGGAAATCTTCCTGACACTTAACAGGGCCCTGTCTTTCAAAAATATTGTACCTTCTATCCAATAGATCAAGACTCACTGAATGGGTTTTCTCACCGACTGTGCCAGTGGCCGCCTGTCCAAAGAAAGCAGTGTCTTTTTTGTTGGAATAGCACGACAATACACATGTGTGACGCAACAAAAAAAGCATCATAACGGCCATGGCCTGGCTACCTTCAAACTCTGAAGGCTTTTATTTATTTATATGCAGCTGACACGTGAGATCTAAATGATCATTATCGTGTACAACAATAAAATGAAAAAGGAAAAAAAGATAAATAAAAACCCATAGGTTAACCCATAGGAGGACCTGGCTTCTGAATTGGATTTGCTCTAAAGGGTAAAGGTGTCACTTTAGAGCAGACATGTGCTGCAATAAGTATTAAAGTATATTTCCTTTGGCAATTGTAATAACCTGCCAGAAACCGCCATGAAATCAATTTAGTTTCACATATGAGTGTAATACGAGCTCATTAGTGCCACCCCTAGAACTGCAAAATCAGTAGGAGGAAAGGCCCCAACTGCTGAAGTCCAAAGCTACACCACAGGGGCACGTATTACTTAGCATGAAATAAAGCATTAAACACTTGTGCTCAACTGTTTTTATGATCGTTAAATATTTAAAATGGCTCTATTTATCTTGCATGAATCAGGCATACATGAACAAGAAGAAAGCACGCGCAACAATGACATTTTGTGGCTGGCTGGACTATATTTCCTTCTCGGAGTAAAAATCATTCGGCGTGAAAAACACTGGGCTTCACCTTGTAATGATGTCCAGGCAAGGCAAGGAACAGGCTTGCCTTGTGATGACAGCGCGTGGCAGCCAACATCGATGACACTGCTGTTTCTCTTTTTGTTTCTATGCATACATTTTCTTTTTTTTTTTTTTACACCCGCTTAAGCTCCAAAAGTTAAGCTTCTTCATTTCTCTTGGGCCTCAGAGTTAAGAAGATGCAAAGCACACTTAAAAAAAAAAGAAGCAACAGATTTTCTCCGGGGAAACAAAAAAAAGTCATTCAAAGTGGCTAATAAATGTTGCGAATGTCTGGATCAGCGGGCAAGTGGAGAAAAAGTATCATCAGGAGTTGAGGATCATGCCAGTCTCATGCTACGCCTGTGGTGCCCACAGCTGAGAGCCAGCTGTCTGTGGAACTTTCAAACCTTTATCCAGCCCTCTGTGCTGTTTGCTCACCCCATGGGCACTGGTGAGCAGGGCCTCTCATTAGAAAGCCTCTGTATGACACTCCAAACTAAGGAGCCGGGAACACTTTTAAAAAAGAATCGAAATCCTTTTAAACAGGGATGCAATTACAAGGGAACCTCTTAAAATATACACGGGTAACCTTGTGATTTTTTAAAACTGGATGAATATTAAAAGAATCAAGAAACTAAATGTCATATGCTCAGTTCTCGATTTACATTAACTGCTCTTTTGTGGTTTCTTTAACCCTATTCTGATTGAAAGAAATCTGAAAGAAATGAAGTGTATGCTACAGCTGACTGACCCAAGCTGTGCAGAGCTCAGTGCTTACATCATAATTCTGAGAGTCCAAAGGAGTCTTGGTTCTTTTATTAAACGAATGGGAAGTTAGTGAGAAGTTCAGAAGCAGGTTTGTATTTTTTGTGGTATTGTTTTATGCTGCTGTTATACACATCCTTTGTATCCTGACTGAATAGCAATTGTAAGCTGCTTTGGATGAAAGTGTCTGCTAAACGAAATAATATAATAGACACTGTTATATTCTAATGCTTAGCTGAGTGTTAATCACCTAACCCTCCATGAATTACAGGTGCATTAAAGGGTAATGTTAGAAATCAAAAGAATCTGACTTAGACTCCGCATTACAGTAACTTTACAGGTTGCTGTAAGTAAATAGTTAGAGACAATGTGTCTGTTTAATATAATTCACAAACTTCCATTAAAACAGCAAAAAAAACTTTTTTAATGTTTTTGTGATGGACTGTCCAGAATTAAATTTTCCTATAGTAAAATAATAAACCATGATGAATTAGTACTATGTAGAATTATCAAGCTCAAAATAATTAAGGTATATACTGTATAAATCTAAAACAGAACTGTAATTAATGAGAGTACAAGGTCACCCATGCCCCTCTTTCATTTCAGCAATGGCAGTGGCAATTGTGGCACCGGAATCCTAGCGCTTTTTATTTGAAAGCATTGGGTGGCACAGTAGCATACTGGCTAGCGTGGCTGCCTCAAAGCACTGGAGCCCTGGGTTAAATTCCTGGGATGCTAGTTGTCTGAAGTCTGTATGTGTTCCCCACATTTGTGTTGGAGCCCCCTGTGTGTGCCTCCAGTGACGGACTGGAGTCCCGTCCAGGGTGTTATCCTCCCTTGTGCCCACTCCTTGCTGGGACAGGCTCCAGCTGCCCCGCCACCCCGTACTGGATAAAATGGTTTAGAAAATGGATGGATGGATGAATGGATGGATATGAAAGATTCATCATTTAGAGCTCACACAAGATGTGTCGGAAGGCAAGGGAATATACTTAAAACAGTAATGTCATCGCAATGACGAGCCACACAGAAGAAGATAGGGACACCCTTCTGTACAGCATAATGAAAGAAAACGTATCTACGCTTGCAAAACTTACCTGTCTTTCTTGTTTTTTCCTTTCTGCTGTTTTCCTGCAAGGCTTCGAAGCTCATCTTCTGTAGGATGTTGATACCACCTCAGACTACACAACAGGAAACACAACAGAAAACATGATATGCATGTATCACATATATGCAATATATGCATATAACGCACAATATTTAAAAGAACAGAACGCTACAATATTTTTAAAAGGTCTTTATGAAGAGCTTTACAAAGAGTAGAGGTGCTTTCTATGCTTGATTTAAAATATTTTCAACTTGTGATATGTGTAGTATCAGAAGATAAAGTGAGCAAAATATTGGCGATACTCCAAAACGGCATGGAGGAAGTAAACATCTCTTGAACTGTGCTAGAAGAGCCGGTTCTTGGAATTTCTTAAAACTGCTTTATTCTAATCACAGGTTTAACAGCCTCAGCCAGGACCACCAATCTAAAAATAAATGGAAAAAATATAAAATAATTAAGGCTTTGCCATGGAATACTGATGCATTATAAGAAATGCAATGCAAGATATCAAGCAGAAACGTTATCGCTCTTGTAGAGAATAGTTTATTTAGTTTGTTAAATCTTGTGGTGCCACTTTAAATACAGATTCATTACTCAGCTTGCTTCTTTAAACTAAGATGTTACTGCACAAGGATGCTGCGTTTTTGCTTTGGAGTTATGTCAAATGTTTAGATACTCCTCATTTTAGAAATTCTGGCAAATTTCTGTTTCTGAAGTGTTACAAGTTATATTAACAAATGTCAAAATGGCAAGGCTGGACATGCTGTGTAAAATATCAGCAGGTCTTTTCTTTACTCAATCTTCTTGATAGTGCACAAACACAGCACACTGCATCAGCATGCTTACAATACTTTCCAGATTAGTTCATACCCCCAGTGAAACAAGAAAATAAAAATAAAAAAACAAACATTATATTGCATATTTGATTAATATAAATAAAAGCAGTATATACAGACTAGCTAGTTTCATCTATACAAAATTGTTATGTTTAATTTACCCAGTAACCTATTTAAATTGAGAAAAGTATTAAAATCCAGTCACTCTGCCACTGAAGTCAAGCTTGTTTACATCAGGGAGCAGGTTAAGGCTGTTGAACTAGTCAATATACATGGATTCATCTCATGTCCAGTATTGTTCAAAGGATTAGATCCAGTATGTACAGAAAGTCTGGGACAAAGAACAATAATCTACACTGTTCTTCACATTAACACCCAGATACACTTTTTACAAAGTACCGCAATTATAGGTAAAACTGGTTTACAGAAAGTGACAACAGTGATGAGGACTAGTGTCTTATTAGTGTGACAGCAGCTCAATAGATCCTCCTTTTACCAAGCTGTATAATGGGGGAGAGCATGTTGTAAACAAGTTACCTCTTAGGCATTACATTAAATAATATCCTCTCCCAAACCAAATTTATTTTCTCTTCTGATTTCTGTAAGTGCAATACCTCCCAAAATGTAAGAAGAAATTAGGAGCAGACCAAACGCATATCTTAACATGATCTGTGTGGCAGCAGAGACGCTGGCCAGGTGTACATCTCTCTCAACAGGAGAAGCACAAACCAGAAACCTATGGACACACTGTAGCTGTTCAGAAATACAGGCACGAGCGCGGTAATCGAGGGATAGGAGTGAATGAGATTCACCAGTAAGGTACTGTGCTCATTCTCGTTGGGCGTAAGGGCTCTAGTCCTTTACAATAATTGAAGTAAATGCTGAGGCAAAACAATTACTATTCTCACACTCCAACCTGTGCAGCAGTCCAAGCCATACAACGTTTCGACTAAAAGAGGAGATGTTTGGCGGCAGTCTGATTTACACAATTTGGTCATCAATGTCTACTGTACACTAAAAAGAACAGCAGAAAGCTGTTGAAGGAAACAAAGGTATTAACTAAGCCGGCAATAGTGAGACTTGGTAATAGTAGCTCTTCTTGTGATGTAATGATATTACAGTGCATATGCAGGGGCAGTGCAGTGGCTCTGTGGCTCAGGATCTGCGCCTGTGGCTGGAAGGTTGCCGGTTCGTATCCCGCAGCCGGCAGAGGAATCCTACTCCGTTGGGCCCCTGAGCAAGGCCCTTAACCCCAACTGCTCCAGGGGCGCCGTATAAATGGCTGACCCTGCGCTCTGACCCCCAGCTTCTCTCCCTGTCTGTGTGTCTCATGGAGAGCAAGCTGAGGTATGCGAAAAGACAAATTCCTAATACAAGAAATTGTATATGGCCAATAAAGTGATCTTATCTCTTATCTTATATTAAAAGAACAGCAGAAACCTGTTGAAGGAAACAAAGGTATTAAGCTGGCGACAGTGAGGAGCCTGCCTACTGGTGCCCAAGGGCTTAATACACTAAACAGATTTCAGATCATTCTCCCCCCCCAACTTCAGTGTCTGTCATGAAGGAGCATGAGCTCTAAGCTCTGAACGAAGAGCTAACTGGACTCTTGTTGTGAAGACTCTGTGGTAACACAGAGTCTATATTTCAATAGTATTAAGCTATAAAACAAAAAACAAAATCTATTTGTTTTTGGAAACACTTATATAGCGGATACACACCTGTATATAAATGTGCACAAGGTACATATGCTGCACTCATCTGCATCAAAGAAACACTAACTACAAGTTTCAAACCCTGCATTCAGCAATGGTACGATTTTGGCCAAGTATTTGCTTCTATTGGACTTACCTTCCACTGCAAAGAAGCCATCGGGCGAAGGAATAGTGAGGTATTATTTTCTGAATGACGCTGGCCATTACCATGGTAACCACCAGCTGCACGCCAATTATGCCCTAGTAGAAGGAGTCAAGAAAATAGTTAGTGACGTCTGAGACATCTGTTATAATGTAACATATGGTAATGGCCCATGATTTTATGGTGACATGCTGAAAGAGTTTTAAAAAATAGGAAACATTTGACATTTTTTCCCTTAAGGTACACATATGTGAGGTAAATGAACTCAAAGTCAGACATGACCTCGATAATCAAACACGAACCTGCAGCACAAAGGTAGCAAATAAGTCAATTGTTGCACCTGTCCAAACTTCAGAAAATCAGAAACTATGAAAGATCAATGGAACAGGAAAAAGCAAATTCTTCTTGCAAACTACACCAGCACCATTCAGAGCAAGAACACAAAATTGCACAGTAACACATTCCTTCATCTCTAGATCTTGGCCTGTCATAATGGGCCACGTTCAATGTTGTGCACAGTTGTGGAGCCATAGAAATTAGATTGATTCCACGTGACCAAAAACTTTCATTTGCATCCCTTTTGAATTGTCACACACAAATCCACAACAAAAAGAAAACATCAGTTGTCACCAGCCTCCTGGGAGTGGTCATGTGACCATTTGCTGCATCACTTCCTGTTACCATATCAACTCCGTTTCATCCTTGTTTTTATATCCAGGCTCCATTCTCCCACCTCATTGTCTTGTGAAGCTGCCTGACATGGTGTTGAGCACAAGGTGCTGTCTGTTTCCAGCACCGGGGCTGTTTCTCCAAGCTCACCTTGTGTCATCACACTGCCAGTCAGGAAGTAAAGTATCAGTGTCTAAGCTGCTCTGGGTAAGAACACACAAGCAGCTACCTTTCAAGCAGAGCTATTCTGTGCAGACAGAAGATACTAAAGAGGGAAGATTCTCTCACATAAGGTATTTGCTGCACTGTGTGGCCCACTAATGTAAGAGACCAAGGCAGAACTCCAAGAAAAGAGCTGCCATTCATGTGATTCATATGACCAATAATACCAAGTTACAAACTAGAAACTTAACTTATAATAGTCACCAGCAGCTCTATCATACTACAACTCACCACTGACAGCCCACTAAAGCTCAGTACCTGGCCGGGAGACTCCTGGGAAAAGCTAAGGTTGCTGCTGGAAGAGGCGTTATTGGGACCAGTAGGGAGCGCTCACCCTGCGGTCTGTGTGGGTCCTAATGCCGCAAGATAGAGTCGGGGACATCATACTGTAAAAGGGCACTTTGGATGAGACTTAAAGCTGATAGATGATGTGAGTGTACCGACTCTGGCTGTCGTTGCGTCTCCCAGGTGGGGGCGAAACGCTGGCGGTGTTTCGAAGAGGAGTGTCCGGAAAAGTGTATAAGTATAAGCGTTATTATTTAATAGCAAACTTTAAAAATGCTAAAGCAGCAGCTGTCCTGTCTTGACTTGCACAAATGATACCTATACGCACTAATACATACTGGGAAGTACACAACATATCAATAGATCGGCATATGAGATTTAACTTCAGCACTTTAAGACAAAATACCCATCAATAATTGTCTTTACACCATATACGGTAGAGAGAGCATGTAAAGAGGATCTTCTGAATGTCTACAGTATAAGAAAGGAAAGGCTACAAACAAGAGCAGGCCAGTTCCCTGCCAAGCTCTGAGTCATTTAGTCTATGACCTGGGGTTCACAGCTCAGGAGAACGAACAAGATGGGGAGATTGGACTGTAGCTTTCACAGAAAAACCTTTCCACCAATTCAAAGAACATTTAGAATTAGCAAGCCTACATTTCTCCGTTTCTATGAAGTGGAAACATTCAGATCATCTGAAATGGCAGAAACTGACTGCATTACGAATCCTGAGCTACACGGAAATACTCTTCAGCTCATATTCATATCTTTTAGATGTATGCGGATCTGCTTAAGTGGGGGCGATATACAGCAGATATTTACAATTCCACCCATACCCGTATTACTTCTGAAACAACAGATCGTTCTTTTTTAGAACACCTTTCAATAGCAGCACACGGAGATTGGAAAGATAAAGTGAATAACCATGGGTTCCATGACCTCAATATTCAACCATTTAACACTTTATTAACACAGTCATTACCTTTACTGGGAGTTTTATGCGCTTTTTACACCTTTATGCAAGATGTTATCAGGCACAAAAAAACCCAAATAGGTTCATCTCTATCTTAACCTTCTCTCTGTTCCAGTACAAGTGTGATATCAATAATGGATAGAAGAAATCCTTGTGACAGGAGTCAACTTAAGGAACACGCATCTGAACAAGTAAAAGGTGTATTCCATGCTGAAAAGAAAAGATGTAACGTTTCAGCTGTACAGCCATCTTCAGGTGTGTGGCTGAAGAAGGCTCCACAGCTGAAACATGGTGTCTTCTTCTCTTTTTAGCATGCAATAAACCTTTACTTGTTCCTTTGCAGTCTACACATGCTGATGCAGCTCCCTACTTGAACTTCTTCCAGTGTTTGCTGTTTGAGTAACAGTTTTATCCAAACAACCTATATTTGCAACCATTTACACAGTTGAGAATTTTAATGAAACAAAAAGAGAGCTGTACCTTGTATGCTCCACCTATGATTAAAGCAACCCACAAACTTCCAGTGAACAGACCAATACGCTAACCTCTGCTTCACAGAAAACCCTGAAAGGTTTATTAGGATGAAGAAAATCTATATATTACAATCAGGTTGATGGTTTATCTCACACACGGTAGGCACTTAAGGTTAATAGCTAAACACATCTTCTAATCTTCTAGTGGCATGCAAAAACACCAAAGAGTTGAAGGCAGCGAATCATAGTATGCAAGTATATATGTATTATTTGCACTACTGTTTTTTTGCTGTATCTAAAACAGCTCCATGAAATAATCAGCTGAAGTCAGAAGTATTAAAAATGTATCCTTTATATAGACATTTCCATTTACAGCAACATATTTGTATTTTAGATAATGTCGGATAATGTAGTCTTTATTTGTATTCAAAACGCAAACATTTTAGTTCATGGATCATTGATCTCTTATTTTTTTTCTAACAAGGACTTCAAGTTACTCACAAGCTGAATGCAAATTATAAAACCAAACAAAAAATGTTTTACATTCTTCAAACATTTCTTATAATGTTTAATACACAAAATATATTAAGTACAGTTTATACATGGGTCTCTGAGACTAGGGTAGAGGCAGACTAGGGAAAAGATAGGATATGTAAAAAAAAAAGCAATTACAGCATGAACATGTACTGTAGGATACAGTATAATTATGGCTCTAAAACCTACCAAAATGTTCTACTCTTAGTAAGCAAATATACACAACACTAAGATTTATGCCAGCTCCATAAAATAAATGAGTCTTCTCCAGACAGACATTTTAGGAGGAATAGTATTCCAGAAAAAAAAGGGCTACCTTTTAGGAGAAACCTTTGAATACTGCACAAATCATGAAAGATGGGTAATAAACCTCTGAATCAACAAAAAATTTAGATTTTCTGTTTACTGAGAATTTACACAGTCTTTCTACACACCAAGAGTATTTAAAAATAACAAAACATCTTATAAGCAAGAATTTTCTACAGTAGGTCCTCTTTTAACCAGAGTCTGCCAAAAACACACAACTGTCATATTGTTGATGAACATTACAGGAATCAAAGTATATTCTCTTTAAAGCCTTCCCACAAAAAAAAGGAGGCTGAAATAAAGGAAAAACAATAGCATACAGCACATACAGTATGCTTAGGAAGACTATTTTGTTTTTGATTATTGTACATAATGGTTAGTTATGTATTTTTGAAAAGGATTAATAAATCACCATTTCCAAACCAATTTTAATAGTCACAAGACTATATACACCACTGCCAAAGCTGAGAAAGGAAACTAATTTGATATAAGGGTGCATGAAATCCAAGCTAAATAGATCATAGAGAAATATGTAGGCAAGCAATTACTTTAAACCCCATAAACATTTTACAGTGCTAGGATTCCAATGAGGCAGGAATTAGGCTTTTTTTTTACAATTGTCCATTGTCTTGCAAAGCCATACAGCACAATCACTGGTATTATATTTAGACAAAGGCTAAAGACACACCTATACTTCTAAAACCAATATCATTTGGTCTGTTTGAACACTCCTCATGAACAGAAAATAGCAGTGTCCAAAGCGAATATAGAAATATGATCTACAACTGCAATAACAAAAGAGTCCATCTGTTTTATTGGCACCTCCAGAGCAGTCGAACACTTATGGGAACTGTTGTCAGATGATAAACCTTGTAAGTGTCATTCTTGCTAGCTTGTAATTCCCTCAAAACAGTGTGTTACTCAGTGAAAGCAACAGAATAAATCAGAGAATGAAGATTCTAAATTATGTGCTGTTGCAGCAACACTCCACATAAATAGAAATTAATCCTTTAAATTAATATCCTTTACTTTGTGGGTTTTCACTTAGCATATACTTAAACACACATTTAAATTTACAGGAAAATCAATATTTACATTATTTTTTTTAAAAAACACAGAGCCTTTCAACAAATAAGATCAGGATCCTAAAAAAGAGATACTTGTGCAAGCCCTGAATATGAAGAGAGGCACAACAGCATCTACTTCATTATAAGACCACTGGATCTGACCACCTGTTAAACTCGGTTTAGTTTAAAGATGGAACTTATGTAAACATAATCAAACGCTGGAGGAAGAATCCTAGTTTGAACAATGGGCAAAACAGTGACCCAAACTAATGTCAAGACGCTGTGTCACGTCACAGAAACAGATGTGGATCTGGTGCCTTCAATAATGGCAAGACTGATTTTGAAGATAAACACAAACCCAGACATCTAAGCACCCCCATGGATGAGAAAGTCTGCTCTAAAGAGGGCTCATCATGGGCGGTAGACCTATGAAAACTGCGGACATTGTCAGGAAACTCAAAACTCCCCTCTGCACCATGCACGACGCTGTTCATGGGGAACTGGAGAAGCACAGAGATACTCATGAGAGAAACTGAAGCAACGCCTGGTCGCCTGAACAGATTTGGAGA